ACCCCATTCGACTGGGGATCATTATCTCTCCGCCACTGTCACCATAATTTCCTCAATAACAGTGTCAGTACAACTCTTGTCAATATACTTATATCGGGTGAGGGCAGTCTATCTCCGCAGCTGGCTCATTTCAATCACTACCGGTCGCAGCTCCTGCCCACGGCAGGCCGGCCGTCTCTCGTTCACACTCTGTGTGCTCCAGGTCACAGCTCCTGCGCAGAGCAGGCCGACCTGTCTGTCTCTCTCTCTCACACACACTCTGTGTGCTCCAGGTCACAGCTCCTGCGCAGAGCAGGCCGACCTGTCTGTCTCTCTCTCTCACACACACTATGTGTGCACCGGGTCACAGCTCCTGCGCAGAGCAGGCCGACCTGTCTTTCTCATGCACGCCAGCTGCTCCGCCCAATATCCCTGATATGCCAACCAGAAAACAATGTGTTCTGAGCCGGGTGCATGCCTGTATGTGGAGAGTGCGTTAATTATTATTATTCAAAGGAACAGTAGGGGAAGTGAACTGCCTGAAAAGAGAAAAAATCGCCAGACCCACCAGGACTCGAACCCGGGACCTTGCTTGTCATGAGCAATGCTCTAACCACTGAGCTATGGGACCGGGCTGAACCAAGAAGGCGCTGACAAGGTTTTCACTCCCCTACTGTTCCTTTGAATTTGAAGTTCTCCCAATCCTTTCATAAATTATTATTATTATTATTATTATTATTTGAAACTCCTTTCTACTTCTATTATTATTATTATTATTATTATTATTATTAAAAAGCTTACGTGGAGATAAAAATGTAATCAACGCAATAAATATTGAGTTTAGAGCTAATTTTGATTTGCCAGGAATCCTCTGATGAGATGGCGACGAAAACGTTTAGGAACAAGCTTAATTATTTACATGAAAACAAGTTTTGCTAATGGTGTTTGTACTGAGTGCGCAGCTTACTCTATTTATTGCATTGATTATTATTATTATTATTATTGACAGTCAATCTTTTCTTCAGACTTTTCCCGTTTGTCTCTTTCCCTCAAAACCAGTCAATATTATTATTATTATTATTATTATTATTATTATTATTATTATTATTTGAAAGTAGGACGGAGGCAGAAAATATTACAAAAAATGTATTATCTACGCATGCATCTACGCAAGAGTCACCACCAGCCAATTAGGACATGTGTCAAAGTATTGAACGTTTTCGTTCCCTTCTTGTCAAAATACTACAGGGAATGATGGAAATAAGCTAAAAGACTACAACTATAAGGAAAAGAAGTTCAGAAACATATCACTCCAATTATGTGTAGAAGTGACACGAAAAAATAGATGTGAAGAATCAAAAAAAAAAAACAGCATGCAAATCCAATAAGTGACAAAAACGTAGTGACAAGAAAAAGAGAGAAATATCAAGAGATCTATTTCGCACCTTCACGACGAACAGTGCCAAACAACTGCAAAGACAACACATTCTCCTTCTGAACACAAAGCTCAGGGTCTAACTTACGTATGTACAAAGCTTCCAACACGGCAAGATGTAACAAAGACCTACCACGCGACAAAACAGAGAATACATCATCGGAATACCACTCACGACAACTAGCACTGCCCGACAGGTGACACTTGATTGCCGAGGTACCGTTTCCCTGACCCGACGACTTGGCCGTTGTCACCTCCGATATTGCCGCTTGCGAATCTCTCCCATTACGCCCTGCGTCCCTGCAATTCCGATTGCCTCGGTCGAGATCAGTGTGCTGCTCCACGTCCAGTCTGTCCTGCTTCCGTGGTCTACCTCGTTTCTTCACATTAACCGTTGTTGTCACTTCCAGTATTGATTCTTTTGATTCGTCATCAATTCGTCTCCTCAATTGACTTCTGGTGACTCGTCCGGGGCTCGATTGTCCAGATGTCAGTTTCGGTGGTTTCCGTATCGGTCTCTTCTTCTTGTTGACTGTTGTTTGGGTTGGCTCCAGCCCTCCGCCCGACGAAAAGGAGGAGGCGTCGGCAAGCGTATCCACAGCGGACGTGGACAAGTCCACCTCAGACACAGACTGCACTGGACACTTCGGTGGACGACCACGCCGAGGTCGAGAACCACGTGCAGCTACAGGGACAAGATTCAACGGTACATGTTGACGAATCCGTGCGCCCAGGTGCTGAAAGGTTCTACCTACGTACCGATTTTCACAATTTCGGCACTGAAAGAATGATGGAGTCGCAATGGGATCGCCTTTGGGACCAGTCTTGGCGAACATATTTGTTGGCTTCTGTGAGTCGTCTATTGACCCTTCACTTTGGCCATCAATGTACTGTCGTTTTGTTGACGATGTGTATTGTCACGACGACGACAAGGAAACTTGTGATAGGTTTATGGAATCTCTTAACTCCTTACATCCAGCGAAAATCGGTACAATCTGGACAATCGAGCCCCGGACGAGTCACCAGAAGTCAATTGAGGAGACGAATTGATGACGAATCAAAAGAATCAATACTGGAAGTGACAACAACGGTTAATGTGAAGAAACGAGGTAGACCACGGAAGCAGGACAGACTGGACGTGGAGCAGCACACTGATCTCGACCGAGGCAATCGGAATTGCAGGGACGCAGGGCGTAATGGGAGAGATTCGCAAGCGGCAATATCGGAGGTGACAACGGCCAAGTCGTCGGGTCAGGGAAACGGTACCTCGGCAATCAAGTGTCACCTGTCGGGCAGTGCTAGTTGTCGTGAGTGGTATTCCGATGATGTATTCTCTGTTTTGTCGCGTGGTAGGTCTTTGTTACATCTTGCCGTGTTGGAAGCTTTGTACATACGTAAGTTAGACCCTGAGCTTTGTGTTCAGAAGGAGAATGTGTTGTCTTTGCAGTTGTTTGGCACTGTTCGTCGTGAAGGTGCGAAATAGATCTCTTGATATTTCTCTCTTTTTCTTGTCACTACGTTTTTGTCACTTATTGGATTTGCATGCTGTTTTTTTTTTTTGATTCTTCACATCTATTTTTTCGTGTCACTTCTACACATAATTGGAGTGATATGTTTCTGAACTTCTTTTCCTTATTGATAGCTTGCATGCCGTCCTACCGGTAGGACCACGGGTCCTACCGGTAGGACCCAAGAAATCGCGCTGCAAAAGTGCTTTTGGTTGAGAAATTTCTTGAAACAATTGTTGAGATGAGGTCTTTGTCAGGCAAAGTAATGGCGCAAAATGCAAGACTATGTCCAGTGCATTGCATACGCGCAATTTTATCAATTGTCAAAATGGCCGCACATACTCCTGTCGGAGCGCTAGCAACTCTGTCCAAAGTGAATTTTGACCATGGCACATCAATCGTGGTGAGGTACTAATGTTTTTATTAGTCTGCCAAGGCAGTGGAATGCATAATTCCATACACCGTTTCCATGGTTACCATTTGCTGTTACCATGGACTATGCTTTGTGCGATCACGTCTAAAATTTGTGGACTCCTTCATTAGCCCCTGAGCAACAGTTTAGGGTCAAGTTTTAGGTCAATGTTAGAACAGAGGCCATGCAGCATGTCTGTGTATGATGGTCCTACCGGTAGGTCCTACCGGTAGGACCGAGGTCTATGCAAGCTATCATTATAGTTGTAGTCTTTTAGCTTATTTCCATCATTCCCTGTAGTATTTTGACAAGAAGGGAACGAAAACGTTCAATACTTTGACACATGTCCTAATTGGCTGGTGGTGACTCTTGCGTAGATGCATGCGTAGATAATACATTTTTTGTATTATTATTATTATTATTATTATTATTATTATTATTATTATTATTATTATTATTATTATTATTCAACGCAATAAATAGAGTAAGCTGCGCACTCAGTACAAACACCATAAGCAAAACTTGTTTTCATGTAAATAAAGAAGCTTGTTCCTAAACGTTTTCGTCGCCATCTCATCAGAGGATTAATGGCAAATCAACAAAAGCTCTTAACTCAATATATATACGCACAATGCAAGTAATAATTTAGACCCTAACTAGCGCGATAAAATGAGAGCTGAAAGAAACATTACACCATTCAACGGTATCAGGTGACAACAGATGCGATAAATTCACCACTAGAAAGTTACCATGCAACCACAAACGAGAACTACTGATCTAAATTCACAAACAATTTCAACGTAAACAAATTCTTTTTCTGCCTACACAAAATCGGCTTGGTGGTAAAAATGTAGATAGACTCCAATACACGCAAATACCTTTGCCAGTAATCCTCTGATGAGATGGCGACGAAAACGTTTAGGAACAAGCTTCTTTATTTACATGAAAACAAGTTTTGCTTATGGTGTTTGTACTGAGTGCGCAGCTTACTCTATTTATTGCGTTGATTACATTTTTATCTCCACGGAAGCTTTTTAATTATTATTATTATTATTATATTATGGCGGTGAGAGCATTGACAAAATAGCACTTTAAAAGATAGCGCTAGTGGCACCAACTACATAGTGAAACAATGAATATTACCAGTATCAAAAAAACAGTGGTGACCACGTACAGTCAGACCTCGCATATCCGGTCCTCTTTTATCCGGATCCCTCGCCATCCGGAAGAAAATCGTTGGTTACCGATTTACAGCATATGCCATGCATACACACAGTATGTGTGTTCGATTATCCGGTTATTTTTGTGGAAAACGGATGCGTGCGGTTATGCGAGGTCTGACTGTACTACAATGTCAAAACAGTGACAACTTTCTCACATACTTCTTTTGCGCACACAGAACTGGTAATAGTACCATAAAGTAGAGCAAGAGCGGTACTTTATGGTACTTCAACATGTAGCAAGCATTGCAGGGCTGTCCCGTGTACTTACTTGCGTTGACCTTCATTGTGTCAATATCCAACGTTAGCTTGCTGTACAGGTAATGTGCGTTCACATCCAACTGAGTCCACACACAAGTCTCTCGCTCTATCTTAATCCTAGCTGAATGAGATGTGCTGTGAATGGTTCACATCGCTACGCGTAACGGCCCCATTAAAATGCTTACCTCATAGAAGCGACCAGTCAGCTCCCACTCGCGCCCAGCAGAGGAGGGGATCTACGTAAGAATCATGGAGAGAATATGACATACACACATGTACATGTACTTGTATTCACAGCAACAAGATAACATAATTACAGCACTATCAAGTGCTGAAGATCATGCCACTCAAGCATCTACACAATAAAACTGCACACACACACACACACCTTTGACCTTTGACGCCCATCGCCGGAGGCGATGATAGCAATGCTACGGCAGAAGCCATAGCAACTTGTGCCGGGATTGCACCATTCAACAGCTTGCAAGGCTGAAGAATTGACCCTCACTATTCAGCCTGGTCTACACCATACACACACACACACACACACACACACACACACACACACACACACACACACACACACACACACACACACACACAAACACACACACACACTACATTAAGTGTAGGTGGCTGCAATGGAGTTTGTGCACCATAGTGCTGTTTGATGACACAGGCACACAGGTTTCACAAAATTGGCAAGGTCTTCTTGTCACTGGGACTTTTCTCAGCGCAAAGTTATTTTTGGTGGTTTTGAAGTGAAGGGTACTGGGGCCGATATTTTAGTTAGAGGACTATGTTGTGTAGAATATCAAAAGCGTGCCACATTGCAAGTGTTCTTTCCGACGGTTGGGGGAGTTTGTACAACCAACTCCTGGTTTGAGCTGGTATACACATTGAGCTCCTAACCAGAAACGTGGCCTGGCGTCCATGAGGACATTGCGCTGCGGGCAATACGATGCGGGATCTGAGTACACTTTTTCAAGCCTTTCTCATTCTTTTTCATTATTATTTGGTTTAGTTTAGTTGAGTTATCCTCGGGACCTCATTGATACCCGTTCAACTCCGCTTGTTTTCTATCCATTGCTCAGTCTACAGCCGTCAACGGCGAAGTTCTAATCATCGTCCAGATCATGAGTATTAATTCTACATTTGTTGCCGGTGGTCATTGCCATGACTCAGTCTGCAAGTTCAACATGCGGCTTTCCTAAGTAAAGAAAATGAAGTCCGTGACCTGTATCCACCCGTCATGCTGTCGCACAACTGTCCAGTGATTGGTGATGCCATCAAGGAGCGAGTATGCGTCTCAGCACATGGCCATGTACTTCCAAAATGAGTTTTGTCAGTAAAGGTGGCGTGATATAATCATGGGTGTACTATGATATTATAGCATATACATGTCTGTACAGTACTTGTCATTCTTACTGTGTGAACACACGGCGGTGACACCTCACTGTGCAGTAGCTCTTTGAGCACACGTGCACTCACATCCGCGAGCAGGGTGTTGCAGAAGTCAAACGTCTCCTCGGCAGACACCATGCTGCAGAACTGTAACAGCATGCTTATGGTACCCAATTGATGAAGTGTGGATCTGACTCCAGCTTCTTCAGCTAGTTGAATGATATCTACAGTCACCTCCAGGATCATGTCAATTCCTCTCGCCACATCCTGCGTGCTCCATACTCGCATCGCGTCCCAGAAGCTAGCGGGAATGGTGGGCTCAGTTTCAGGTGCACTTATGTTGGTTCTGGACAATGGACCAGTGGTCAATCGAGCGGACCCGGCTGCTAGTTGTGATGAGCTTGTGGGGTTAGTCGACCGCGATATGAGCATTTCCACAGGGGTTCTCACCTGTGTGGAGCCAAGGTCAGACTGGCAGTTGCATATGGTCGCATTCCACAGCTCCTGCTGGGCCACATGTCGGAACCACCCAGTGTCGATGTGCTGACCAGTACAATACTCTTTGAGACAGACACTCGGTGACTGGCCATTCTCTGCAGATGCTCTTGCGTCCAGCATATTGATAACTTTGTTCAGCTCCCGTATGCTACAATCTGCCTGGCCACAGTGCCACAGCATTGATGCATACTCGGCCTGAACCAGGGCGGCTGAGCAGCAAGTCTCACCCACTCTGCCGCTGCGGTCCAGAATCTCAGCAAATCCCTTGGCCAGCTCAAAGTAGCGAAGCGATGTCTGCCAGTCAGAGTGATAGGAGTACGTGAGCCGTGCAAAGTACAGCAGCAGTTGCAAGTGTTGCTCAGTCTCCATACTTTTGCTACACGTCGCTAACATGCTCTCCGCCAACGGGAGCACGGAGGAGATGTCATATCTTTGCCGCTCTGCTCGATTGCACTGCTGCTGATCTTGGAAGAACTTGAGCAGATTACCGGTAAGTAGCTTTACCAGACCTGCCTTGCTAAGGGAGGTCCACTTCCAGTCCAACGACGAAGATTCACACTCCTGAGCCTCAGCGGCTTCTGAACTCGGGCTGCTGGTGTCACTGTCGAATTCTTTGACCAGGATTTCTTCAATAGAGCGCTGGACAAGAATTGACACACGGATCATGTCACCATGGAAAGTGATCAGACCAAGCTGATGAAGTTTGTGTAGAGTGGTGGTGTGCAGCTGCGAATTTGCTTTGCTGCACCCTGTAGATGGGTCATGGTGGCCAGTATCTTGTGATTGATCCTCTCCATTGGCCATGTCTGTTGCCAGCCCTGGCACTGTGGCCGGCATTGAGTTGAGGATGCGCTCAATAATGAAGATGGGGATTTGGCAGCCTGCTCTGCCAAGAAACGACAGCGCCACCATAACAATAGCATTCGACTCGGACATCTGGTCAAGCAGCAGCGACGTTGTTGCCACGATGCTGCGGCAGTAGCGACTCTCGCCATTCTTGCCCACCTGAAGAAGCCGGAGTGACTTTGCCTTGCCAGCACCGACGGCAATGTCCTGAAGGAACGGAGGGGTGCTGGAAGCCAGTGAAGCCGATGTTGCCGGATCACACGCCATGTAAATCTGCTTGGCTATGTCCTGTGTCGTGTCAGAGTCGCTCAGCACATGGGCGGTCAGCTCCAACGCAAGCGGACAGTTGCAAAGGCTGCTCTCCACAAAGCGCCACAGGGTGGCGTCGCTGAGTAGCTGCGGCATCACACTGGCGTCGCGCAGCTTTGGACACTTGCTCACCAGGTAATCCAAGGCATCATGCGTGCTCAGCGGCAGCAGCTCGTGGAGTGCCGCAGATGGAGTGCAGCTTATCCACTGGGACTTCATAGTCGAGAGACTTGTGCAGATGACAGCATGGCGCTGCATGTTCTGCACTTGGAGTACAGACATCAAAAGTCTGGGGTTGCGAACATCATCGATGACCAGCAGCAAGTTGCTTGCCGTCGACAAGTACTTCATGCCTACATCAATGAGACTGTGCTCGGCGCTGGCTAGGTCTCCACTAGTCACTGGCATGCCGCCAGGGGTGTTCATGCGACCAATGCGGCTGATACCAAGCTGAATGCTAGCCTGTGAGGTGCCAGACAGCCAGTATTGCTCGGGCAGCTCTCCACTGCACTGGCTAGCGACTTGAGCAGCGACGGCTGTTTTCCCCATTCCTAGCTCTCCTATGATAACGGTGAGCCTGTCCGCCAGTAACGACATTGTGAGCGTTGCAATGTCCTGCTCACGTCCAAACAGCTTTGCTTTGGGCACTAAGAGCGGCAGTCTCCCATTGTCGATAGATGTGCCCATGTCTTCGGTAGCAGCAAGCCGATTGAATACAATGGCTACTGCCGGCGTTTTCGGGTTCCGCACCATGCTGCTTAAATCCTTGGCCACTTGTGCAATCTCGTGACACTCACGTCCTCCAGCAAGCATTCTCAGAATGAGCTGGGCGCTCTTCATGTACAGAGACATTTTATTCTCAGTGAGGGCAGCACAGTTTGTGTGGCACACGTAGTTCCTCAGACCGGCCTTGCCACACACCACCTCTAAAGCTGTTCCAAGCTTGGTCATCAGGCCACGACCGTCAGGCACCTTTTGGGGCTTCGGAAACGCAACCGAAGCGTTGCGAAGTAGCCTGTCCTCCAGTCTTGAGTAGCTCTCCATCATCTTGGCTCTGTCTTCGGCCCGGCCAGGACCAGTGCTGCCCGCATCGGCCATACATGCCTTGTGACAGGCCAGGACCCCCTTCTTCAGATATATGTACATAGTTTGTATGTCAGTGTGTACTTGCATGCCTGGATTGTCGTGGATAGCAGCTGCTGATGATGCATCCTGGCCATGTTGGATGTACAGCACGATTGGCTGAAGCTCAAGCGAGAGACTGCGCAGAGTCGCCAGTCCAATCATCTTCAAAGCAAGGCGTCGTGAAGCTGTGACCTGCTGGAGGCCAGCATCGATCTTGCTTGCCTGGTAGCCATTACCAGAAGCATGGCCGCTGCATCCTCCACTACTAACATTACCTTCCTGGCTGCTTACTTCTGCCAAGTGTCTTATCTCAACTATTGCAAGGTGCAGCTCTCCAAGTGCTTCTTGTCTCCTGTGCTCATCCAGCACGGGGAAATCCCCTTGCTGGCTTGGCCCAAGCTGGGGAACTTCAGGAAATGAACAAGAGCTGGAGAGTAACTCACACAGCTCCTGCATGCAAAGCAATGAAGACAGCACCTCTCCTATCGACAGGACGTGGGGTTCATGGAACAGCTTCTGTCGGAACACGAGCAACACATTAGCCAAGTGTCGCATGGAGTCGGCCACTTCCTCGCAGCGAAACACACTGACCGGCGAGGACTGTGATTCGCCGACTCTACGGCAGTCATCATCAAGCCCTGCACTCTTACCCGGACATTCTGCAACACCCTCGGCCTGGATCTCATCGATAACTCTCGCTTCGTCGGCTACATCGTTTCCTACTGGGGAATCTTGTGCAGGACACCAGAGGAACGGTTTGGTGACCGCGACGGAACGTCGACATCCCATTAGCTGACTGTTGAGCTTCACCATCAGGGAGCACAGCAGGTAAATATCTGCCTGTTCCGCAGCTTCCGAAGGAATGTAATCCTTGACGGTTCCGCCGACCAGCTCTCTGCAGCGCTCTCGCCACGTCCTACCGAGCAGAGATTTGATCTTGGCCAGGAGGGACGGTGTGCAGGCACGCTCGAAGGCGTCGACGGCTATGTAGGAGCAGAACAGCACACACTGTCGCTTACCCGATGCTTCAAGACAAGCCGCCATGATTGAAGGATAAGTCCTGTTGCTACCGAAGCGTAATCATTCCAGTAATGTTACATGTAATGATGTAGATCTACAACACAGTCTAATAGGACCGTATGAACCGCACTGGCTGCCATTCGAAGGTCACTCAGACTTTTATAGGAAGAGGTTCTGTAGTCTCGCTCAACAAAGTCCTCCCCGGAGCTTTCCGGCACTCGGTGAGGAGCAGGACCATGCCTGCTCACAGTATTTGCATGGTCCACCCCCGTGACGAGGAATCCATGGCTCTGGCTCACTGAGAAGCAGGAGCTAGTAGTAGTAGCGGCTGCGTGGTTGATCTGCTAGCTAGCAGCAGTCTAGAAGTTCGCAAACTAATTATTTTTCATATATCCGCAGAAGTACCAATACGGGAAAGCGAGCGCATGCTTGCCAGGAAGGAAGGGAAATGCTTTTGCATAAGTCTCAGAGCTCAGAGGATCCACCGACCTGATCTGACTCTGAGCCCTGTGGCTACTGACAGTCTGTGTACTGCATGCGTTCTGGCACGTCAGTCATCATAGCTCATAGCTCATAGCTCGAGGGGATCGGAATCGGAATCTGGAGCTACACCTCTACGTGGGCCGTGTGTTTGTCCTAGTTTGATCTACCAACCCCGGAGGTGCAAACAACTCACCAGTCTCCATAATCTATTCTTGCATGCACAACCGTTGAACGATGGGGATCGTGCAGCGCCGTATTTCAATGAGTTACAAACATGAACGATGGTGGCAGCTACAGCGTTGTAGCTGGGTGGGTGCTAACAGTTTGGCAACCAGGTAACGGTTAGTTACCACGGTATGTGCAGCCTTCACATGTGTGATACACGTACCGGTAGTCGTGAAATAATTGTCTTGAGCCTAAAAAAGAACGAACGTAGAAGATAGCGTCCGCTGCGCTTATGAAGTAACTTATTTATGGTGGCGGTGATTCCGAAAGGCTGCGCTCAGGATCCAGACAGTGTACGTGTCTCCCTGATGTTGTGTGGGAGATCGAGAGGGCTCCCCGGGAGACGACCCCACCCGGCCCAGGGGATTGTCAGTGCCACTGCCAGCTAGCTACCGCCTACCGGGACATGTGTACTACAATAATTGTAGTACATAATATATGTACCGTAAAGTACCGTTGATCCGCCCCCTCTCTAATTCCCGCCCCCTGTCGATTTTCTACCTGTGAAGTGACTTTGGCGTATACAACGAAATACAATGTTGAACCGACGCATGCACTGCTGTACACAATACTTGCCAATCCAGGATGAAAATGTGCACAATCCAGCACATTGAGTCTGATCCTCTCGTACATCGTACTGCACTTGACAGCCTTGATCTAATTCCCGCCCCCTGCCGAAAACCCAGCTGGGAAGCGACATGGCGTGGGCACGGTGGGCCCGGGGGCGGATCAACGGTACTTTACGGTACTAGCAAGAGTCCATAACCCGGGTTATGGACTCTTGGTACTTGTAGTAGTAGTAGTAGTAGCAAGAGTCCATAACGGGTTATGGACTCTTGGTAGTAGTTCAGCGCCGCAGACCGTGTGACCTTCCATGTCCGTGAAGTGCGCTAGTTCTTCAGCGAGCCAAGGTAGACCTAGTGTAACAGGTTGATGGAGACGCTCATGATGCCTGGCTGGGACGTCCAGGGGAGTAGCCTTTTTGGCCGGACCACAGATGTGCGTTTTTCCAGTGGCCATGATGGTGACAGACAGAAGGGTGAGTGAATGTAGAGTAGACTCTAGTAGATCTTCTAGGGGCAACGTTTAATGCTAGATAAACACGATGACAAGCCTGCACATGAGAATGGATATCAGATAATTTTGTAGATTTAACGGAACAAGAAATCCTGATAGTTTGGTGGAACAGACATGTAGTTACAGAGTACTGATGTACATGACTTGTACTGAGATGTACCAAGGCCACTTCACACAGTACATGTAGACCATGATTGTATGGTACGGTGTAGTCACCAGGGCTAGGGAGTCTCAGTGTATAACACATCCTCACTGGTCATTGGCCAGCAGCCAAAGGAAGACATTATGCGATAGTGACCGCCATCTGGCAAACACACACAAGTGCCAACTTCAATCCAACAAAGCCCGAAGCTGTTCCAACTTCCTAAAAAAAAACCTGTAGTGAGCCCCCCCTCTCACTCTCTTTCTCTCTGCCACGATCTCCCTCTCCGTCTCTTTCCCTCCCTGTTTTGATTTGTGGCGGGATAGCTTTGGAGGTTATCAGAGCTATGTAACGTTAGATTAGTAGCCGTTGCCTGGGGAATCTGTATTGCTTTTTTTTTTAAATGTACACTCTAAGATCCCAACACAGGTCTGCCAGAAGCAGCTTCAGTCAGCCTGGCGCTAGCTGAGCCTGCACGCCAACATCAACACTAAAATGAGAACTACATATACTGTACAAGTACATTGCTGTATTTCAAAGTGTAATTCTATGAATGCAGCTCTAGATGTTGCTAGGCCTCATACCGTAAACCCGGAATTGTTTGCACCCGTTTTAGCTCGCGAATTCACCTGCGATGACAGACCATTTTACGCCAGTCGCCTGCAAACGTTTGCGCTGATGATTGACTCGTGTCTACAGGTTCGTGTTTCGCGCCCACTTACTTTCGCAATTTCACCCCCATCGCTACAATCGCGAATGTTACAGGATCGCAAAGGTTTCTGGGTTTACAGTAGTCATTGTAATCCCTGAGACAATAAGCGGTCAGGCCCTGGCCCACAAGCCTCAACCCGGAACCCCAGAAGTCTGACGGCCTTCAAGTGCAGCCCGGGATAGGGCTCGGCCTCATCCGTGATCACGGGTGCGTGGCAACTGCTTTTATGAGCCAAGGCTGGATCCTGCTTGCACAGTTCTTCCATTCATGACTGAGGCTTTCTTGACCCATCGCCGTGAAACTGATCACCAAACATTTTTTTCAACTGCACGTGACCACCCCATGCTCACAATCAAAACCCCCAGTGAGTGTCTCAGAATAATACGCGTAATACCAAGAGTCCATATGTATTACCAAGACTCCATAATGGACTCTTGGTAATACTTTATAACAGTACAGGTAGATTAATGCTTTGCAGCTCCGAGTTTTGATGTGTGAACACAAGAAGATGGCTATGTGAAGTAGCTGCACTTATCCAGAATATTCATTTATCCAACAGCGTCCGGTCTCAAGGGTGCTGTAGTAATTGACACTCAACTATACCGTGCCGTGTATAAATATGCGTTTTTCTGTGTATTTTTCACCATTTGAAAAAAAGCATAACTTTCCAAACTTCTTTTTAAACGGGCCTCATAACTTGCATACCGGTAAGTACAGCAAATGCATACCTGTGATTATCCACCATACAAGCATTATTCCTGGGGTCTATGCATGCCAGAGAAGTCACTACATGTACTTAGAACAGAGGAAACAGCACTTCTTCTAAAAATCACATCTATCGAAAGAAGACTGTTATGTTAGCTCTTGTTTCCAGGAGGCACATAAATGGCAAGAGATTGGGGTTATATGATCATTGGCATACCACAGCAGCGCAGAAGGCACTTCTTGACCTACCGGTTCAAACGTGGATCCTGGTTTCAGCAACCTTTATTAAAATCCTTTTGGCGATGGTAGACCTGCATGTTTGTAGCTGTGCACATGAAGGCAAGTCGAGCGACTGCACTGACGAACACTGGTTACTGACCTGTATGGACAAAGTGTAGGAAAGGAGAATCAGTCCGAGGCTGTAGCCCTTGCTACATAACAGTAAACAATTGACACTAGACAGCACATCTCATGTTTATACCAGATACCGGCAGTTGAAATTTTTGCGCTCAATGACTCAACAATTGACATCTCCAATTGTACTCGTACTCAATGCTTCCTCTTTCACAACCCTGACCTCTACCCGTGTGCGTGGGAATAGGAGATGAGTAGGAGGATAACGCTATAAGAATTGTATTCAGTTCTCATGGAATATGATGAGAAGACAGTGGAAAATAAATTAGTACTTGTAAATTATTTAAAAAAAAATACTGGTACAACACAGAAGACAGTGATTCGTGACTTGTCACTAAGCAGATGAGAATAGCGATATATACTAACTCGGGTATAAAACTGGTTGAGACGAAACACAGTCCTCAAGACACGATCCGGTAACGCAGCAGCAGCAGCCTGGAAAGCTTGGAACACAAAAGAGTCCGAAATAAATTGTTATAAAGCGCGAGTTGAAAATAATTAAGAAATAAAAGCCTAACGAAAGGTTATGACAGATGGATTCATTGTTGGAAGATCCGTTGAAAGTAGCTATTGCAGGGCAAGTGAGACAGTGTTTTGGTATTGTTCAAATGTAGGGCCCATTACCTGATTACGGCAGTACAGAGAGCATGGAGGAGTGGCATTCTCAAAGGAACTGTAGAAACAAGCAATGAGGTATTAGAAAATCAAGATTTAGCATCGGAGAAAGCCCAAAGCAGGACGAGTAGTCAGGATGCTCACGTCCAACGCACGTCATCTTTGTGCAAGACACATTTCAGAGTGCGCATATCCCGCAGCACCTGGCGATTTGCCGCAAGGCGCGACTCGCTGCGTGCGTGCAGAAACTCATGCGGCTGAGAGGGGCCGTGGCGCTTTGCTTGCTTTGCACGAGATGCCACGGTAGAACGGGAGCAGCAGTCGTCGTGGTCAACGGTGTTCCTTGCGCAGTGCTCAGGCTGATTGCCATCGTGGTGTCGCCGGCGAGCACGAGAAGAAACACGATCGCAGATTACTGGGTGATGTCGCTTGAGCTCTGCCAGCACCTGCTGCAAACTGCCGCCAACGGAGTGAGATGGAGCGGTCGACTGACCAACAACAAATGGGATGTGAGCCAGATTCAGGCGATAGTGGCGGCCATCTCCGTTCTGAAAGGGTGCAGATTGCTTTGGCCGTGCTGCTGGTTTGTGTGCTGAACTGTGATGTGATCTATGCGGCTCATCAACGCCAGAGTCACTGCCCGAGTCAGCGGAACTTTCATCAGCATCGTCATCAGAGTTTCCTTCGTTGTCATCATCCAGGATAACATTGTGTACCTACAAACACAGACACGCACGAGCGTGCAAAACACACACCCAGTTGAAGTGAAGAAAACGAAAGTCTGGATGAGATTCTGACAAGACTGAGGCCTGTAAGAAGGGAAAAACTCTTGAAATAACTGAAGTACATGAGTCACTCCTAGCAATGCACCTTGAAAAATCACAGCATTCTGACATGGTCAAATTACTCTCCATTGACAGAGAACACATGAGGGCACCCACTCTTGATTTTTTACTGGTAGCTACGATAATCTACATCCAGATCAGCATTGACTCATACATGCAAAGCTACCCTATCGTACCCTAGCCCTGTGCTCTTGACGATGTCGACCCACACGAGCTCTCTCCAGTTGCAATCGAGCTTCCTCTAGCTGCTGAACAAGAGATGGCGACGACGGTTCCTCACGGGAGTGCTGTGATCTGACATTACGGAGACGCGCACGATCCTGCTCCAACTCAGATCTATAACGAGAGGTTTCCTCAGTCAGCTCCTCGAATCGTTGGTTGAGTGAAGATTTCTCATTTTGCAGCTGACGAAGTTGATCCTGCATGTCCATTAGTGCCTGAAGAACAGCACCACTCCGACTCTCTCGAATGACTGAGGGTCTCTCGCGTATGTGTGCATCTCTGGCGGGTTGAAACTGCTCAAAGCCATTGCGATGAGGCAATTCAAGAAACGAATTTAAATCTGCCATTGAACACTATCAAACTGAACTGAAGTGAATCACAAATAAATCATGGACAATGAGGCAGGATAACTCCAGGATCAATTTACGTAGCCCGTTGTCGTTCTAGCTACCGGTATTGTATTCCTTTCTCAGGGCAAGAGGCTTACTGGTTCGGAAAGCTTCTACTTACTACAGTATGTAGATTGATCTAATTCCAACTAAGATTGTGTGTAGCCTGGCTAGATAGCAGAGCTAGCTGGTGCTCTTCTCCTTCTACCAAACTTTTTGCTTCACCTGAACTGAAAATAGTCGGACGCATGATTTTCAAACTGATATGCAGTTTGAAATGTTTAGTTGGGTGCAAAAAGCGCGCCCTACTTTTTCACGATTATTTTTTTCGATCGCCAGAAATCTACACACATAACACATGTCATTGTGTGTAGCGCATCAGCTCGAGCCATGATCCAACTTACTTCCAAGCCATGCTGCATGCCGCCGCCAGATGATCATCGATCAGATCTGCAGAGCAACCAATCGACACGGCCTAGCGCGCCTAGCGCCTTGACATGTTGTCGTGCATCACTGACTGCATGTGACCAGTATGCAGTGCATGCATGCATGCAGTGACCATGGTGACCAGAGAACCCCTCGCGCTCGCCTCGCGGCGCGTACTGTTACGTGTTGTAGCAAGAGTACTCTTGTACCTACTCTTGGTTGTAGGTAGACTGGCCGGAGACTTGTACGTGTGTGCATGTTTGTGACCAGGTGACGAGAGTCCACAAGCACACAAGCATGCAACACCACAGCTACTGTGCTGATCCAGATAGCTGCAGACTAGATCTACTGTGCCACGGTGAGGTTGATCAAGCCACGGAGACTTGCACTGTTTGTTTGCAGTTGGGCTTTGGAGTTTGGTGTTACTTCCCTACTTCCTCTCCCGAGGTTGTGAATATGCTGTTTATGAACTTTGGATGAGTCCGTTTTTCCCAGTCCCAAACCTTACAGCTGTGTTTGGAGAGCTTGTCAACGTTCCCTTCGAGCCACTGTAAGTACTAGTAGTAGATTTATTACAGGCGCAATGTAAAGTGATTCTTTTATCATTTTCGTCGCCAGACCCCGAAATAACTTCCTTCCTTGCGTGGGGGGCTGGACCACGTGAACATTCTATTGCAGTATTGGCATGATAAGGCCAATTACAGTCATTATTGAGTGGAAAGAAAAAGTGATCGACGTTTCTGCAGGCATGCATTTGTATTCATTTTCATAACATGCATTATTTTTGTAGTTCCCACACCAATTTGAATACGTCCTTGAGACTGCTAAGATGATACGAGCAGTAGTTATTGGGTGTCCTGTCTTGAATATTATAACTGCTCTTCCTTCACTTGTTGCTCGTGAGGTTATCGTTTGTTGATAGGGTGCTGAACACTGATGTCCGTATCAGCATTATGTCTTCCATCCAACGCATCATTTTCTGGGGCTAGTCGTGCATGATCATGATCTTTCTACAGTAGGTGGTAGGGGCTAGGCGCTGGATGAAGAGGCCAGGGACTCACCCCAGTAGAGTTGCACAGTGCACAGCCCTGACCATATGTTCGTGGATCATCTGTTTATTTATTTATTGTATTTCCAACTTTTGTCAGGTCTCATTGTATGCTGTCAAGAATCTAATGTGCGAGGAATAGAATGCACGATTAGTTATTTTTTGGCTGCCCCCACTGAACATCTAGTGCTGTAAGTTGCAGTGATTTTTTCGATAATTTACCGCACTAGGTCCATTCAGTTCTTCTTTGGGATTGGTGAGTTCTTCAAAGAAATCCATCCTGGCTCGGTACTCATCTTGTAGTTTTAAAGCTCCATGGATATAGATAGGTTACCTACTATGTAGCTGCGTTTTGGGGGATCTGGATTGAGCTTGGTTGCGATGCAGAACAAGGATTTGAAGTGAAGTTGTGATGCAGTACATGCACATGTTATCATTTGCATAGATGTGGAGTGGCGAATGTAAACATGCCTTGTCGGCAGGGGGCCTCATCACTACAGAACAGCACGGCATAGGGATGGTGCCCTGGGTGGCATTATTAGTACACATTAATACTTGTAGATACATGTCCTTGTAAATGGAGGGTAGGAAACCTTGAAGGTCTTGTGTCCAGGTCATTGATAGTACATGTAATACCAGTGCCATGCTGCTGTGGACTAAAGTGGGAATGGTGTCGGAAGTGCGATCAAGTGGTGTGGATGCTGAATGAAGGGGGCCAAAATTGCATTATTTCGAAGCATTTACAACCCTAAGTACAGGGTACTGGGACATAATTTAGAAAAAGTGTCACAGCAATTTTTCCTGGTGTTTCAATTACTTCAGTATTATTGTTGTATATACTTGAAGTACATGTAGTACGTACTGACTCTGTGGACAGAACTGTTTCGTCCTTTGTGTTTTAAACGTAGTATGTACATATGTGCCCATTCTTCATTACTAGTCTGGACATGGTATTAGATAATCAACCAGCAACATAGTCTGGACATGTACTGAAGACTACATGTATAGTGTACTTGAGATGGATGTGTAAGTGTGTCATGATGCACTTAGCTTACTGCATGACACACTCTAGCTATGGTCCTGTGGTGCAGGCACAGCTTGTTGCCAAAGACAAGCGGGAGGGCTTTATGAGTAGCTACTTGTGTGACTGATCCCAGCTGGCTCAATTTGTACTTGTGACCATTTGCATCATCTTCCCTTACTCCTCCTTCTCCTCGTCCCCCCCCCCCCCAACCTAAGTATTATAGTACATGACATTGTGAGAAATGCTGAGTGGGTTAATTAGCTATTTGCCAAACATGTCTAGAACTAGGGCTGAAACAATTGTACCAATTAGGTACTCGTTTAATCTCAAATTAGGGTTGACACTTCGCCCACATTCATGTCAATTATTCTCTGCTGAGCAACTGGCACACTCAAAAAGCACTGTGGCTCACTTGCTTCTCCCCCTGGTTTCTGTCCATAGGAACTAAAAAAAATAAGAGCAACACGATCAATTGAAAACAGCTATTTTTTCAAGTTACATGACTTCGACCTAACTTGGGGAATGGAGTAATTTGTGCTAATACACCTGACACTATTTGCTAACAACTATGGTTCAGTACTGTAAAACGGGTGACGTTTGCGACAATAAATGTTTGCGTTTTACAAATTGAGACTGGTTTGCGCTGTTTTGTTTGCGATTGAACACATATGTACGACATACATGTACGACACAGTCGAGTCAGTCCTTGCATTGAACTTTACATGGCGTGAGTTTGCGTTGTTCAAAGTTTGCGATTCGGGGCCTCTCGCAAAATTCGCAAACATTTTTACGTCGCAATAGTTACCTGTTTTACAGTATTCGTTGTCTACGCTATCGCTCAGCTGAAGACTTATCGATAAGTGAAAGCCCGTGGTTATTCCAGCCCTCTCTGGCACCCAGAGATAGCTTTCCATGCACATTGTACCTGTAATGTCACTGTGAGACTTGCATTGTAACCGTATCCCTTCTTGCTTTGCTAGCATTGTCTCAAGGGTCACATTTCTACCTACCTACCCTCCCCCCCCCCCCCCCCCCCCCCTCTGTTCTTTCTCCGGCCATGCACGCTATTATGTCATGTAGCTGGTCTTATGAAGTACAGTTAACCTTGTGAAATAACTGTGTAACAACAGCTTTCTTCACTATCTTCAGACCTACTAACCATTTGGCAGCATACTTTCAACTTTACCATGTGAAGTTCTCTGAGTTTATATGGCAGTACTCTCAGGGCAGGGTCAGTACCATTTTTCGTCTGATGATCGATTCAGTTCGTGAAACTCAGAGTTACGAAAAAGCAACAACTGGTTCTTCTGTCTGTGTACTTTCGACCTTATGAATGATGATGAGTCTTGAATAGCAACACTTTTCTGATGGCTGATCGAGGGTCGTTGTTCGCAAGGTTCACTGAATATTGCATTGCATACGGGACACAGGCAGCTTACACCAGCTTGCATTTGGCTTCTCTCTCTCTCTCTCTTTCTCTCTCTCTCTCTCTCTCTCTCTCTCTCTCTCTCTCTCTCTCTCTCTTCTTTCTTTTATGAAGAATGTGTGCTCCTTTCTGTGCCTTTCCCAGGTATATATTGTAGGCACGGGTCCATCAGTAGCAAAGTAAGGCGGCGTGTCATGTCAGACCGCGGGGAGAGTGAAGATGAGTTCTTTGAAGCCAACGAAGAGTTTTCGTCGTCATCATCCTCCAAGCTGGAGGAAGGCGTGAAGGAGCTCAGCATCGCAGAGAAGAATGCGGCCATCAAGGCTGGATGTTCAATGTACGTATCAGTTTACTCGCAACGAATGAACACGAAGTATGCTTTAGGACACTCCATGCAGTTAGCTGCCATGTTATGCTTGTGTATGCTCAATGGAAAATGATCCACCCACCTCGACTCACTTTGTATTGTTGGCTTACTGTATTATCTTGTGGTGATTGCTTCTTTCTTTCCTGATCTTGTTCTTTGAATACCTTCTCACGCAGGCAACTACCGTGTCGGCAAGGAGGTAGGTCCAACTTGTACCGGATTGTATTATATGCTTAATTAATTTGCAGTGGTTGTTTTCTTTAACACCATTTCCTTAATGATTATCGTAAACATTGTTTAGTCTCCATTGGTCAAGTTATCGCCCCGCAGGCTGTCCGTGTTCAGTCATGTACATGCCAGGTGATTACTGTCTCCTTCTTTCTACACTGTCTTTGTAGGCTTGGGTACTAAGTAGGGATATATGGGCGTTCCCCTTTCTTTAGGTTGTACATCACTGGTGGCTATGATTGTTGTTGTGTCTGCCTTCTCTCTTTTTTTTCTGCAGGTACTGCAACTGTAATTGCTGATGTTCACACTGGGGAGGAAGATGATCTGGGTAAGAGTGTGCTCCCAGCAGTTTAGTCTGTCACACAAGCATCCTGTATTTTCTCTTTTGCTGTTGCATATTCCGTAAGCCATGTTGACCTGCCACCACACTGTCACTTTCCAGCTGGTTTTTAGGGCCGGAGTGGGAATTAGACCCAGGCGGTCACGTGCAGTACGCTGTACAACAACGTGAATGGGTCAGGCTTGCCTGTCTGGATTGTGCACAGTTCCATCCACAGGACCACCAGCTCTGGTATGCATTGGGTACTGCGATGCATGCGTCTGTTCAACACCCTGTTTTGGTGTTTACTGGTATGCTGAAGTTGCTTCACAAGTAGAAATGGACAATGGGTGGAAACTAGAGAAGGGCACATCAACGATATTGTACAGTAGTGTACATTCAGTGTACTACCTCATGTTTGATACCTGAAGGTCAACACGTCCATGTATTCATCTATGCATGTTTGCTTGTTACTCGTTGCTGCCGCCTCTACTGCTGCAGAAGCAAACATTGAAGGCAGCAAAAGTGTCATTACGCATCTACTGTCCCAGGTTCGTGTCGGAATGGACTTGACCAAAGTAAGTGCGCGTACTGTCGCTGTTGTGGTTGTTCTATACGCCTGTTCCTTCTATCTTGAAATCGATACGTTAATATAGCTGTGTTGCTAACTTGCTAGGCGTTTTTGTAACCACTGTTGACGTGGTGTACAAGTTTCCTAGCACCCATTCCAGTTGTTTCCAATTCTGGTGGTGAAGGTTATGGTTTGAACTGCACTTCACCTGATGTTGAATTTTAACATGCGCTGCATCTGAGACCTCCCTCTAACCTTTCCTGCTACAGTCAAATCTGCCGTTAGCAACCTCTGCTGTAGGCGACCATCTACCGTTTGCGACCAATTTTCCGTGCACCGACGATTTCACATACAAATTGATCTGTCCATAGCGACCATCTGCTGTGCGCGACCAGCGACCGCGATTTCATGCACGGTGGCTGCATTCAAATCTGCTGTAAGCGACCGCGACCCACGTTCAGTCAGATGCGAAACTGTACTTGCCAGTGCGCTGTCAACTGCAAGGTGTGAAAATGCGCTGTCTTGCAAGTGTGATCGACTGGCCCTGGCACCCCTATATTCTATTGAATACTGTATAAGCAGAAATATTCGTCTGGAATTTAATTTCGTCTTTTTCGTCCAAGGAGCTTTTGGACTAAATTAAATGTAGGACTAATGTCGATTTGCCCAGCTTTTCTATACACTCTTATGATCCATGGACGAAATTTTCAACTGGACGAACTCCTTTTCTTTGGAGTTGGACGAAATTATTGACCGACGAAATTTTCTGCCTCTACAGTATCCAATAAAATGATATTAAAAATCACATTATTCTCGTTGATTTGAGTACATGGAAGCATATATGCATGCCCAGTATGCCGGATTTACCATACATCTGCCGTAAGAGACCGCTTTTTCTTGCACCAAGTGGCGGTCGCTAACGGCAGATTTGACTGTACCACGTTTCAACGTTTATATGTGCTTACGGCTTGTGTATACAAAGTGCATATGACCAGTGCTCTGCGAAAACCGACCTTAGGTGCTATTTTGGCGAAATTGAGTTTGTGCTGGATTGTTGACCCAGGACCCTTTCTTCAACTTCTGGTGAAGTTTTAGGTGGATTGCATACATATTCAGTTAGATACAATGACAATTTCTTTGCACTTTTCTTGCAATTTTTGGAGGAAAAATAGCAAAAATCCAGGATTTTATGCTACATTTTGGAACCAATGCAGCGAGAATTCAAGCAGGATGATTGCAACCAAACTTTGCAGAATAAATCTGTATGTCATAATGCTCAAAAGGAAAGGTTTATGATGGCATTGGATCTTCCTGTTGTGGAGATAGACACATTCTATCTCTGTTCTGTGGATGGTGTTGCTCACGAATCTGGTGGAAGAGGTATTTGGCTCTGTTTGAGGATATGCCAGCCGGAGTGATGCGTAGAGGCAGGTGCAAAGTAGTGAAGAAGCTAGGATCAATGCCGGATTAAAGGATATTGATAGTTTTATCTGGTACTGGTAGTTAGAACATCTAGTTATGTCTACATCAGCCGCACACATTGTTTCGTAATCGGTGATATCATGGCAGTCTCTTTTCCAAATCTTGCCAAACGTACTGTATGCAGCTTTGCCACCAGGCTTTGTGAACGCCTGGTGAACAAGCTTCTTCGTAGTGATACTGGGCAAATACATGTAGGTTGGTACTGGCTTGTTGTGTCCATGTCGAGCTGCAGGTTAAGGGAGGCCATGAAATAGCATAATACTAGCATAGCATAATGCTCTATAAAATGCTTCAGCTCCACAACATCTTCCACAGGCAGTGCATTCCAGAGTTCTGTGTTGGGCTGATTACACTTGCACTGACAGCAGCCTGTAGATTTCAGCACCCAGGGCTTGATCCTGGAGGCACACACAAAGACTTCCTGACATGCATGTACAGATGACTTCCACACCAGCCACTGACTCTGTACTTCAGTAGTTCAGAGTAGTATTGTTGAGCCCCATCTATCACATCTCCCAGCATGCTGGACGCGCTGGGTAGCCTCACCACGTCTCCTGAGCACGTCTAGCTTTCCGCCTACACACAAGCAGCGATCTCAGTGTCTTGATCAGGACCTGCGCTGTGTGTGCTGTAAGTGCAAGCAAGGTTTCAAGTGTCACGCTCTTGAAACAGCACCAGTGCGGAACACCTACAGCGCTTGTCAAACTTGTCACGCGCCTCCTGGATTGTAGACAGTACTTGAACCGATTTTTCTTGGTGTGCACTCTGTATATTGCCGGCATTGAGGGGCTGGGCTGGTGGCAGAACCGACGCCTGATCGAAATTCTCCTCCGCATCACCTTGATCACCGTCCAGCTCGATCAGCGTTACGTCCTGCGATTCCACATCCGACTCTCCTCGGCACTGCTGTCATCAGAACTGCGATTGGACCAGGCCAAAAAAATGACTATTCATCGTGAAGGAGTTCGGCTAAAACCTCTGGGGAGAAGCCCGCAGCAATTATTTGAGCTAGCGACTGTCTTCTGCTTCGTTCCGCCATGACTCTCACCTTGTAATCTTCAAAAATCGACAGATCGTGACGTTTTGTTCTTTTTCTCGAAAAAATTACGAAGCACCTAAGGTCGGTTTTCGCAGAGCGCGGGTCATATGATCACTGCTTATGTGTACAAAGTACATGTAGATACATGTATCAGTCATTCATGTATTGGTACTGTGCTGCACAATGTGTGAACACCCTGACATGTTGTCCTTGAGGTCAGGTCATGTGTATGGAAAGGATGAGTAAACAACCCACACTATCTATAAGACCACCAGAGTAAACTGTTAATAGGGAGGTTTCGCTCTACGTAATTACGTATGAAAATCCGTATGTCATACGCGCCGGGGAGCGAGGTCAACTTTCATACGTAAATCTCTCTACGGATTTCCGTAGGAAAGCTGTTTCCTACGTTGGGTCCTCCGTAGGACTTTTTGAATTATTTTTTTCGCATTTTCCGCATTTGTCCATGGCAACGTTCAAGCCGCGCGAAACACAAGGTACACATACCGTACACCACGTGCAAAATAAAAAGGGAAACGCGGTTTCGGTTCATGGTGCATGCGGCGGGTGCATGCAGCCAACGCGTCTCCAAAGCAACACGGCATGTTTAGCAGTCGTGGAGAAATCACGTAGAGCGAAACCCAACAGCTCTGATTTTTACGTATGAACGTTCCGTGCAGTTCCTACGTTACTCTAATTTCAGAAATTTTCGGTGCTCAATAATTTCGGTATGAGGGCAAAAGGCCAGGTTAGGTGAACAGAAATTTTAAGTACAGAGAAGCAGTTCCCTATTGGTTTATGTGTGTTAGTGTTTGTTCGGTGTATTGAAATTTTAGGTATGAAACAGATGCACCGAAAGTACCGAAAATAAAAGTACACCGAAAATTTGTGAAATTACAGTATTTTCATACGTAATTCCGTAGAGCGAAACCTCCCTAATGGCTACCATGGCCAGCTTGACAAGACCCCCTCTATCAATCTCTCTCTCTCTCTCTCACCCCCACTGGGCTGCCTATCATTCTTTTCAGTCGCTGCCAGAAAATTAGATTAACTCTTTGACTTTATTTTCCTCAGGTTGTGCTGCCAACATTTATCCTTGAGCGCCGGTCCATGCTGGAGATGTATGCTGATTTCTTTGCGCATGCGGACTTGTTTGCAAGGTAATTTCATGTACACTTGCACAATCTCCAGTTAGTTGTGGTGGCTGGGTGGGTGTATCTGTCTGTGATTGTGGTGCTTTCGCATACATGTCCGGTAGCAGTTCATTTTGAGATGCCGTGAAACTTCAGTGTATTGGAGTATACCTCGGTGATGGCTGAACTGAGTCACAGTTATGGGGTGATGGAGTCAGCACTCGTGCAGGAGTTGCAAGCATTCAGCATGTGAACATGTCACCATCTACCCATCATGGATCACGCGCATCTGGGGAGTGTGGATCTGATTTGGACCAGATGTCGTTTAAAAAAAATACTTTCCAGCCTGCCGCCATGCCTCTCGAGCCCTGCCATGATCTAGATTTGATTATTTTGATACTTTCCAGCCTGTTGTCGTAAATTGAGTTATGGACTCACTACATTACTCAGGCGACACTGGCCGATCATTTTCCGACTACATTACTCAGGCGACACTGGACAATCACTTCCCCTCCACTCGGTAGCTGGCTGATATGAAACTGTCGTCTCTCTCTGTCTTGTGTTTGTTGTGCAGAATTCCCGAGTATGATACGCCGAGGGAGCGGTTTATTGAGGTGGTGCGATGGTACATATCTTCTTTTCATGCGGGCAGAAGGGTGAGGCACTTCATGCTGCTAGCTTTGATATGTCTTGTGCACATGCACCCTTCTTCACCTTGATGAATCGATATTCCTAGCTGTATGGGCATGGCTGCTGCTCTTTGAGTATCTTTGTACTAACAAGAGTGCATAACCAAGAGTGTGCAGCTCCTGCCTTGAGCTGCGACGGGCTCACTCATTGCGGAATTTTTTCCTTGCGTCCTGTTTTGGCGGAAGTTTGATCAAATGCGCTTGCTTTTCCGCGCTCATCATGTCTATACCGTGTCAGTTCATCAGGTTCAGGGCACATGGATCTACCGTCCGTTGTTCTGCTTCGACTTCTGTAGCTGTGCTGTACCAGTTCTTTACACTTTTGATTAGCACTCAGATGTGTAGGCCGGGTACCCAAGAACCCGCTCCCACCTTGACGGACCCTATAGTAATCGGGCACTCACAAAATAGGGGTGAAAAATTAGCCCCCATATTCTTTTTGTTGTTGGATTGCATTCAACCCTTGTATGCTGCCCTGGACCAGACCCAATTGTGACCGGGACTGTCCGATAGCTTATATAGGGCACCCGATTGACCACTACTTTTGAGCTCTGCCCTAGCATGATGACATCAGTGAGCCAAATGGCCGTGAAAGAAAGATGCTATAAAAACTCCGTCGTGGGCTAAGAGATTGTAGAGTTGCTTACACATGATTTTGTAATCTTGATGCTATCCTAGTCACCCTTTTAGGTCTCCAAAAACACCTGCAATTCTGATTGCATGACTCTGATCACCGGTGTGTGTACTGCTAGTGTCTGATCATGTTACAACTATGTGCACTGCTAGTGTCTGATTTAGTACAGGGGTGGTTGCAGTGTGAAAGTGCACTATAGTGGTTTCTCAGGCCACTGAGTTGTGTTGTTGCTGTTGTTTGATTTGCACTGGGCTTCCATCCATGTCGCTGTTGGTATTTTGCAGAGCTCACTTGCGAAAAAACCGTATAATCCCATCCTGGGGGAGACGTTCCAGTGTATGTGGGATGTTCCTGCCACGCACGGTGTCACAGAGGTAATTCTTACCTGGCTGCTGGCCATGTTCTCATATGTGTATGAAGGACTAGCTGCATTTTGCCTATTGTGCTTTTCAATTTTGTGTCTGTGTGTGGTGTTGTGTTGTGTGGTGTCTGTGTGTGGTGTCTGTTTTAATGTTGGGTCAAGTGTCTGATAATTTTTTTGTTGGTGTTTGGGTGAAAGTTGGCACTGAGATCCCGAGTTTGAGTACTCTGATTTTCTCCGATCGAATATTCAAGTATTTTCATCTCCTAAAAATTGCACACCAAGGGCTTTAAAATAACATGATACAACCCGGATTGAACCGAGTAGCAATCATTTTCTCGGGTATATTGGTTGGTGGGTCATTTGGGCTCTCTCTACTCGTGAACAAAATTTGACTGTGTGGTGAACATTTAATGTTCACCACACAGTCTGCACATCACCATCTGCCGACTGCTGCCCTGAAACTGCAGATTTCTGTAGTAAATGCATGTACCATGTATGAACGAGTACTCTGATTTATTCCGAGTACGATTATTTTTGAAAAAACCGAGCGAGTACTCGAGTACTCGGTATAATTGTTTCACCCCTAGTGTTTGGTCATTGTTGCTTGTTTCCTCAGTCAATGCTGGAGAACGGTCCCGTGGCTTGGGCACATGAAAACAGTGTATCATTCATCGCAGAGCAAGTGTCTCACCATCCACCAGGTATGTCTTTGTTTACTTGTGTCTGCTATTGTTCAGAGAGTATTCATGTATTGGAAAATGGTCGCTGAAACCTTGGGCCTTGAACCTGCACTGACTGTGTTATTTGCTTGGTTGCTGATTGTGTGTGTGTGTGTGTGCGTGTGTGTGTGTGTGTGTTTGCGCATGTATGTGTGTGTGCGTGTGCCTTTCCACAGTGGCTGCATTCTATGCTGAGCATCCTGGCAAGCGAGTATCTTGTTGTGCACACATTTGGACTAAATCGAAGTTCCTCGGCCTCTCAATATGTGCTCACCTAGTCGGCGAAGGTATGCCGGAGTACTATGATGGTTCACGCTTGTAGAATATCTCCATCTCTTAGTGGTGCATTCGAGAAGGACCATCACAGTCTATGTGCTGAGGGGTGTGCATTTAACTGGTTTAAGTTACCGTATTATCTCTAATATAAGCACGGTCCTTTATTTTTTCAATGTACCTCCGCCCCGTGCTATTATTGGAGACGTTCCTTTATTGGAGACTGTTCCATTATTATTTCAACCTCATTTCAGAGGCTTGTTGCCATGCCAAATTCATGTCAGACACACACATTTCAGGGTTTTTTCACCGGTACAGATAATGAATTTACACAGTGTGCTTATAATGGAGACTGAGCACTTTATTTTTTGAATGCCGCCCCAAGGTGTTCTATTATTGGAGACGTGCTATTATTGGAGACTGTGCTTATATTAGAGATAATATGGTATGCTGTATCCTTGTCGGTGGATTTCTGCTCTGCCTTGTAATCTTGTGGCTACGGCGCTGTTGAAGTGTTTGGCTGACAAGGGGGATTGACATGATGCATGCCTTGTTGTTGGGTTTCTGCTCTGCCTTGTAATCCCCTGTGGCTATGGCGCTGTTCAAGTGTTTGGCTGACAAGGGGGGATTGACATGGTGCATGTTGGGCTGTACTTGACTTCACCTCCTCTAGTCAGGCTTTAGTGTGCGCTTTTCAAGCATGAGGAGCAGGATCTATGCACAGTATGACAGGAGTGCACGTGCAAAGAGTAAGGAGAATACACATCGACCTTCTCATGCTGCATGCGCATCTTGCCCTCGAGGGGGGGGGGGGGGCTTTTTTGTGGCTGAAAGTCGCGCATTGTGACCGGTTGCTGAGCAAAACTGATCTACCTTTTTTTTTTTAATTATTCAGGTACGCTAACCGATCACGTTCATAATGAGACATATCGCGTAACGTTCCCGAGTGCGTATGCCAGGTAAGACGATGACGATAGCTCATCCACGTGTATTGGTGGCAAAGTGAAGTCCGACCCCGGGCCTTTCATATTTATGTACGACATTCGCATGGGTACTGCTTGCAAGTGTATTTACTCCTGTGGACACACATGGTTCTACATATGCATTCCTGGGAAAGCATGTGCACACAGCAAGCAAGGTTATGCTGACACTTAAGTTATGGCAGTGGTTGGATTTCGCCAATCACGGCTGTACTTGGAGCTTCGGCTGCTTGGCTACAAGAACATGCCTTGTATGTTGTAGCCTGGTAGTGTAGCCTCTTGAATCTGAGTATGAAATTGTAACGAACAGGCATGGCCTGTTTTGCCAATGATCTATCCGGCCAGGCACTTGCTGCACTCAGTGCACGTGTAAGCAAGAACACATTCCACTTTCTTCACCCACATCCAGTCTACAAGCAGGTGTTGCTGCAATAGTGCTCCGTGATGCACAACGTGCCTTTAGTTTGTATATTATTTTCTATGTTCCTATCCTTGGTTATGGTGTGCAGTGACAGTGAATGCTTGTGTTGTTGACATTGCTATGGTCGGCTGTTGTTCTTGTTGGTGTTCGGTATTGGTGTAGGTCCATCTTGACAACACCGTGGATGGAGATGGGTGGCAAGGCAGAAGTCACCTGTGAAAAGTCAGGATTATCGGCATCCATCGAGTTCATATGCAAGGTCAGTAGAGCACTCTTTAGGACTGTTGCTTTCTGATGATGCATTGCACTGTGTGCGTGTGTGTGTGTGCGTTCGCGCGTTCTTGAGTGTTTTCTTGCATGTGTGTAGTGTGTGTGTATGGGGGGGGGGGGGGGGGGGGTCACGCTGGTCGTTGGGCAAGTACACAGTACATGAATGCGATGTCCATGTATTTTCTGATTATGTACGATGTAGCTATCCAGTTGTTTGCATAGGCCATTTCTATCCTTACTGCCATTTTCACTTGATGTGCTGCCACGGTGTCTCTCTTGTGTACGTACAGCCTTTTGTTGGAGGAACTCGTCATCGTGTTACTGGTGAACTCAAGTACGTATTTGATCAGTTA